ATTAAGGTCTGGTGTGAGCTACATTTAACTGCCATGGAAAATTGGAAGAAGCTGTTGCTAGCAAAAAGTGCTATAAGCTCTAGGTTTCAAAATAAAGCTCAATACAATCTTTCTGCGTATATTCACAAATGACCATCCAAAGATTTTCAATTAGAGATAAAAGTTACTAGTTCTTGACCAGCATTTATTTGCCCCTTATAGACAAATCAGGCTTTAGTCAGGACTTTGCAATTAATTATATTATTATTTTTGGTTTATATTTGGTTTTAGGAAAGAACTATAATTATTTTTCCCTGGAAGAAGAAAAGTATATTTGGGCACTTCAGAGGCTATTAAAAAGGCAATTACTTAGGATAATTTTTAATAGCAAAAAAGAAGACACTAAGTCGGACTTGCAAGCAGGAATGTGTAGAACATTCTATATTCATTTTTGGTTAATTGTAGGAAATATCGGGTCCACAAATGCATTGAGGTGTTTTAGAAGATAGCATAAACACAAATAAGAGCAAAATGGGGAAAATGTGAGCTTGGTAGCAAAATGAATATATGTGATGCCTACAGCTGTCCTTATTTTCACTGTTATTTCAACATCCAGTTTAAACTCATGATATGTTTTGCCATTTACAGGGATTTGGTACAGAGAGAAAGATTCGTCAAGCTGGTGTTATCGACTAACTGGTCTCAAAACAACTAATATTGGAATAAGGGTGGGGTCTGGTGGAGGGTACTGAATATCCTTGTATTCATCCCTTCCAAAATCTAAGGAGCTATTACACCAGTTTTAACACCTTCCTCATGTTATGTTTAAAAATAAATTTATGAAACAGTTTTAAAATATGCACAGTTGCATCCTGGAGAACCTAAGGTGGCGCCTTATATTAACACATTTTAGAAGCTTTTTGAATGGTGCATTTAAAGCAACTGGTAACTGCAAATCTACTTTGCCTCTTTAAGTAAATATTATAGACAGTTCTATTCTGGATGACCTTATGAAATTCTGCACTGAAAAGAAATATATATATATAGACACAACATGCATATATTTTCCTTAATTCAATTTTGCCAAGGTATTACTATGCCTTAGGTCTCAATTATTTTGTCCTCTCCAAGGCAGGAAAGGCTGATATTCTTTTCATTTTCATCCAGTTTTGAGGCTCATATGAGGATAGATATACTAACTGTATTATATAGAATGTTATATGAGTACTCAGACATTTATTTGATGGCCAGATGTTAATGTTTTTTATGTCTCATTTAAATTCAGATCCATTTAGCAAGCAAAATTATCTCTTAGATCTCATTGAACATATTTTCCAAAGTAGACTACTCGTTTTTCTAATTAACTGCAATTAGCATGCATAGTGCAGAATTTCATAAGGATAAAGTGTGCCATCAGTATGGTAACTTAAAGATATTTAAAACAATGCACAATTTGCTGCTTACAACACTGCAGCTTCTAAACCCGGTTTATTTTACTGATTTAAAAAAAATTAAAAATTTGTGCCTGAAGTGAATACATTTTTTTTCAGCCAACACCCAGTGTACTGTAAAAGAATACTTAGGCTTTCCATAGCTGTATTGAGACTTTCATCAAGGTGAAATAGTTGATGTCTGTGTGCTTTTTTTTTTTCTCCCTTCCTTCCAGGCCCCCCTCTCTCCATCCTTTCCCTCCCTCAGCCACACTTTATCAAGCAAACAAACTGAATGATTGGTCTAAGTATTACTTTAACCAAAAAGATCAGGAGTTATTTACTTTGAATAGAGGGCAGTACTGTGTTTTTTCCATGTTACCTCTATTCTCAATTTAGGGTTTTTCTTCTCTGGGAGATGCATTATCTTTGTAAAACAAACATTGCTTTCTCCAATTTTTCTGTTAATGGCAAAGAATGGAAATAGAATAAAGTTTTACTGATTTTGAAAATTTGCCTCTGTCTTGTAACTTCTTCATAAATATCTCCCACCCACTTTCCTGCTTGGCCAATTTCTGTTTTCAGAAGACATTCCAGATCCTGAATAAAAAACAAGACTCCCCCCATTTTTATGACCAGGCAATATAACTCGAAAAAACACTTTTTTAAACTTGCAACATTTTCTTCATTTTCTTTTCTCCATTTTACACACATGAAGATTAACATCTAAAATCCCAACCACATTTGCATATGCACTAGTGTCTGATGAACCGAATATTGGGTCGCATTAAACATGTCTTGGTATCAATTTACAATTCACACTAACCCAAATATGCATTATTTGAATTTGTGACCTATCTGTAATCCAAATTTCTGGCTTCATATTGTTAGCATTAAATATTGAATACTGAATTTTACTACAATAATTGAGTTTGTAGATGTTGTTTATCCTGAATCAAAATAATTCTGGATCTGGCCTGAAGCCAATTTAATAGGATTGTGCTTCAGCTTCAGTTCCAGAAAGATGCTTTCAAAGTGTAAGAACAAGAATTTATTTTATACATCAAATTTAGAAACTGCCCATCTCATAGAATGATCCTGGGCAATGTACAATTGAAACAATATATCCCACTAGGAGGCAGCTTAAACAAAAATAGAAAAAATACAGTTTAAAAGGTAAGGAGAGGATCTTTCTGACTGAGAACAATCAACCAATGGAAGAGCTTGCCCTTGGAAGCTGTGGAAGCGCCATCACTTGAGACCTTCAAGAAGAGATTGGACTGCCATTTGTCAGAAATGGTGTAGGGTCTCCTGCTTGGGCGGGGGGTTGGACTAGATGACCTATAAGGTCCCTAACAACTCTGATTATCTCTTATCTTCAAAGTTGTGGCTCCAAGGTAGTGTGTTTCTCTGAGAAACCCAAGCTAGTTGGCCGAATCAAGTCTTCAGATACTTCCAAAAGGCCAGGAAAGTAGAGGCCCAACTCACCTCTTGAGAAGATTCCAAAGGGCGGGGGAGAAAGCAAGAGTAGGAATTGAAAGTCTTTAACTGAAAAGATCTGTAACATACCCCCTCTGCCTAATTAGGTGAGACAACAAGCCAATGTAATAGGGAGAAAATAGTTCTGCCAGTAACCCATAAATATATGAAAGTGCACCCTATAGAACCCTATTTGAGTTCTATGGTTTTATGTATCAGGGCATAGTTAAAAAAAATTCACCTGGGGCTTTGCAATTCTTAAAAGTTGGTAAATGCAACCTCAGATGAACAACAACATATGACATATTACACCATGTCATTTATTTTACATCGTAAAATCCATCAAGCATTTGGTGAAAATCATGCAGATTTTCAGTTGACAATATAGTTCTCAACTTACAGCCACAATTGGCCCCAAAATTTCTGTTGGTAAGCAAGATATTTGTTAAATTAATTTTGTCCATTTTATGACCTTTCTTGCCACAGTTGTTAAGCGAATCACTGCAGTTGTTAGTAACACAAATGTTAAATGAGCCTGGCTTCTCCATTGACTTTGCTTGTCAGAAGGTCGCAATAGGTGATCACATGACCCCAGGACATTGCAACCATAATAAATACATGTCAGTTGCCAAGCACCTGAATTTTGATCAGGTGACAATGGAGATGCTGCAACATTCATGTGAAAAATGGTCAGAAGTCACTTTTTTCAGTACTTTTGTAACTTTGAATGGTTAATAAATGAACTATTGTAAGTCAAGGACTACCTGTACAGCACCAACTACATGTGAAAGTACATGCACATTTACATCCCCAATCAACACATCTCTCAGTACTAGCATGTTACATAATTACTGATACATGTATTAAAGATAGTCCTTGGTTAACAGTAAATTGGAACCTGAAACTTGTCATTAAGCAATGTGGTGATAAAACATGTCATGCGACCACACTGATTCCAGCAATTCTGGTAGATCCAGTTGCTGACATTGACACATGGTTCTTAGTTGCAATATCACACAATCACCATTTGCAACCTCTTGCCAGCTTCCCTGTTGACCTTCCTTCGGAAAACAGGCAGTGAGGGCTGCAAATGGTGATCACATACCTGCAATGCTGCAACGTAATTGCAAGCAGGTTGCCAAGCACCTGGATCATGAATGTGCAACTGCAAGTATCCTGCGATAGTAGCAAACGTGAGGACCAATCGTAAATCTCATTCAGCACTGCTGTAACTGGTTGCTGAACAAGTGGTCCTTGCACGAGAACAGCCTGTATACAACACACACTTTTGTCTTCCTATTTACTCTTGAATTGCATAAAATGTTCCAAAATTCAAGCCTAGTTAGTGTTATCATACACTCACAGTCACACATTTCTCTATGACCTGAAGGGGAAAAAGCCCCTAAACTGCATACCACATGAAATAAAGCAACATTCGTCTTCCCAAATATTGATCATTGTCCTCTTGTTCCCTTTCCATCTAACATATAGCAAATCCAGGTATAATTTTTATATATATCCTTTTATCAATACCCTAATTGTTATGGAAATGTAGTAGTATGGGTACTACAAGAGTCAAGACTATAAGAGGGAGGGCGTGCAGTCCAGAAGAATAAGACACCTCAGTATGATACTACCCAGCAAACCAACATGCTATTGCCAAAATCACATGGTGTACGTGCGGTGCATTTACACACTCAGAACAAACTCCACTGACCCACAGTAAGATGACTCCATAATCTTTGTATTGTATCTCCAAATCTGATGTTCCGTGCTAGCCAGGCATATGGAGCAGCCCTGGGGAACTCTGCCATAAGTTCCTGGAGGACTGCAGGGGAACCTTCAACCGGAGACCAGAAAAACTTTTTTTTTTCAAGGCAAGGCTGCTCTCAGGAATATACCCCTATTCTCTCCCATTTGGACAGCGAGTCCTAAGCTTTCGTATAGTGAATTGCTTCACACCAGAGGCGACTTTAACCAAACTACAACCAGACTCCAGCATTCTCTGACCACAGCTCCCTCCCGAGGCGTTCGGCACCGGTTGATGACGTCAGCGCTGTGCTACGTCGGAAGGGCGTTCCGGCGACCGCGAAGCCTGGAAGTGAAGTAAGTGGAGGTTCATACTTAACTTGCCAGCCGTTGGGCAGGGAGGGCGGTGTGGGGTCTCTCTCTTTGAAGTCTCTTCTCCCCGAGTCTGGGGTGAGAGGAAGCGTGGAAACGGCGCACCGGGTCAGGAGAGACAGTGGTCTCTCGTCGAGCCCCACCCGCTATTGAGAGACGCTGCCTTGGAAGGTATTTGCTACCCTCAGAGTTGGGTGTGTCCGTCGCTCCCGCTCGAATCCCGTCTCCCTGTCCTCAAAGGGTGCCCGATGGGCTAGATGCCTTTCCTTCCTCTGAAAGCAGGGCGTTCAATTCAGCTGCCGGGGGTGGGTGGGTGCGCAAGCAGAAGGGTGGGGGTCCTCCGAGGCTGATTATTCTCTGCCCGGGATCTTGAGGGCTTAGTGCAGTCTTAGCTGGTGGGTAAGGCTGCCTTGTGCTCTGTTTAGTTCACCCCACGCCATCAGGTTTTATTTAACTATGGTTGATAGAGCAAACCGTAGCTGGCTTTCTCAATAATAAGCTGTGGTTTACAAGCCATTGTGGCTAGGTTGATAGACAGCCCTAAGGTTAAAAAAAAAAATAGTTTGCTTGTTAAAGTTCCTTGTCTTATTAAGGAAACGGGATTTCCTGTCTCGGTAACAATCCTACCATATATGTGAGATTGATAGTTTACATAAGGCTACCGAATAATTTTTTTTTCTTTGCAGAATATGAATTTGAATCATTTTGCCATTGGTGCAATCTGATAGGTGTGAACTGCCCAGAGTCACTTTGGTGAGATGGGCGGTGTAGAAGTTATGTGATAATATACCTTCAATACAAAGTACTCTACACATTTATGTACTTATTTAGCAGGAAGCCTAACAATGCATTTGGTATCCCTTACAGTTAAGAATTGGGTTCAGCTCAATTGTTCATGTGTTTTCTTTCTGTGTTTAGGTGACAACAATATTATCTTTCTTGGGTGCTTATTAAAATTTTGCAAATGTAGTTTTGAAAAGCAAAATTGTTTTGGTTGAGAGTTTTATGTAAAAGTGACTTGGTACAGTTATGCCAGTCTGAGTAGCTGGGGTGGGAAAAGGGATAATTTATTTTGCTGCAACTTGAGATCTGATTTTCAGGCACTATATTAGTGCTAGGTCAGAAAGAGGGGGGGGTGTCTTCGTAAGTGGCAGTACCTAGTTAGGGAAGATGGGATTGACTAGATTGGATAGATTGATGACTCTTTGATGAAGAGAGGATGTCCCAAAATCTTGAATAAGGTTGTGGTGTATACATGCTTAAACAAAAAGAAGCCGTCCCAGAAATTTAGGACAAGTGCTGCCCCCATTTGGAGAACTCTGGAACATCTTGAGGAAATTGGATAACATCATAGCCCTGGATTTACTGCTGAAGTAGTTATCCTGATAGGAATTTAATTGCCAGGAGAGCTACAGTACAGGAAACATATATCCTAATATCAAAGCAACTTTTGATATTGACCATCACTTGAATTGATTCAGGTTTGGGCATTTGAGACACTTTTTTAAAAAATCCTGCTTGCAGGATCTGCCCAGGAAGTGTGACAAGATACTTCTAAACTCTTCATGAAAGTTGTGCCATGTAGCGGAATACTGTTCAACATTCTAAACTTTTAAACATCCACATTAGGAATGGACAGTGTCTTACCAATGTGATTCTTATTTTTCTTAGGGTTTTTTTTGGGGGGGGGGGGGTTGAAGATTTTGCTTCCGCTCTCATGCATAATAATTCTGTAACACAAAAATGTTGCATCCCTGTAAATAAATCATTTTGCATTGAACTTGATGGGATAATTTGGGAGTGCTACAGTACAGCCTGCAGACTGCGTATTTTTCATATCTGTCTAAAAGAATGGAAGCTCTGGATATGTAAATTAATCCTCTTTTTATTCCAGCCTATCCAAGAAATGTGCCAGGTGTCAATTAAGAAAAAAAAGAGAATAATACAAACTGCAAAGATAAAAGATTAAGAAAATAAGATGAAGAGGTGGTGTTTTTTTTTGTATTTTAAGAGAAGGTGATGAGTTGCTAAAATTGTTTATACTTGTGATAAAGTGGACATTGTTACTAATATGATTGGATAAGTGAATTGTGTTTTATTTTGCTAACTGTATTTTTCCTAATTATGTTTTTTGATGTAACATTGAAGTATATTTTATTTATCAAATTTATATGCCACTTATCTCTGCCTCTTTTCTAGGCAGTATACATTCTTGTTACATAGGATATTTTAATGGAGGGTGATTTGTACATAGAATAATATATATTTGTGTTACAAATAGGCCCCTGAGGAAGGCAATGACTGAGTACAAACTGGTGGTAGTAGGAGCTGGGGGTGTTGGAAAAAGTGCCCTGACCATCCAGCTTATCCAGAATCACTTCGTAGATGAATATGATCCTACTATTGAGGTAAGGCTTTGAGAGTATTAACATCTAAGCATACTAAATGTGTTTATGTCCTTTTCATTCTGTTTATGGAACCTGTACTTGATTCTTAAACATTTTGTTTTATCACTTTTTGCCATCAATCACTGGTCTCTGATATTTATTTTCACTGTCTTGAAAAATTAATTGGAAAAGACTTGTTAGGAAGCATGTGGCAGAAGATGTTGTAGGATAAAAGTAAGGATGAACAATCAAACAGAGAACCATATTAAGATTTGATGTTATAAACCATGCCACAAAACTGAGGTGATGTAAAAATATTAAAATGGGGGAAAATTAAATAAGAATATGTTTAATTAGATTGCTGAATTTTAAAATATAAGATATTATGATTCTCTACCCCATCTTATCTCAATTATAATTTCAAAAATAGTTTTGCTCATTAACATTGAATGATTGCATATTTACTTTTGAAACTGCATTGATTTTCCATAGGATTCTTACCGCAAACAAGTTGTTATTGATGGAGAGACTTGTTTGCTAGACATCCTGGATACGGCAGGACAGGAAGAATATAGTGCCATGAGGGACCAATATATGAGAACTGGGGAAGGCTTTCTTTGTGTGTTTGCCATTAACAACAGCAAATCATTTGCAGATATAAATCTTTACAGGTAAGTTCTCCCTATCAATGACAAGAGATAAGATTGAGTGGCACATTGTCCACTAGCTCTCATAGTTTTAAAAGTGAGATGGTTAGTAAGGCAATGATTAATAACTGCTGAGATATTTTACTTAATATTGTATATTGGTGCCCAATTCAACTTTGAAAATTTACCTGACACTAATTGTGGTAGATTAAGAACATCTGGTTACTGATTAGAACAGTGATCCCCAACCTTTCTACCTTGATGGGGGGGGGGGCATATGAGTGGCAGGCGCACAGCTCCATTGGTATAAGTGGGCCTGCGCATCCTCTGCTCATGCGAATGAAGCTTCGCACACAACTTCCATGCACGAAACTCCACTTTGCGGTCATGCATAAAACTTCACTCGGGAGTGGCAGGCACGAGTGGAAGGCGCTTGAGCGAAGAGTGCTCATGTGTGAAGCTCTATTTCACCCTGAGTGGAGTGTGCATGTTCACTTGCCCACCACTCGTGGAACTTTATGCACGCACTTGCCCATTGTTTGTGTGGCCTGGTTTAAAATAGGCCTTAGCCCAGGGGTTGGGGAGCCCTGGATTAGAAAATATATATATGAAGGTAACCATAAAATAGACTTGAAGGATATTTTTTTCAACCTCATTGTTTTACTAGCATAGTAGCAAGTAAATTTGATTTCATTTCTACCCCCTTTTATCTAGAAAATAATGCAATATAATATTGGATTTAATTCCTTCAATAGAGGGCGTTAATTTGGCAGAATAATTCCTTTAGGATTACAAGTCTTTTCATTACTCAGAAGTAGGTATCAGTTTTATCTGGGCTGTTCATCTTGGGCTGTTCATCAATGACAGCAGAAACTGTCAGAAAAAAAGCACAGAAAGTATGTGTTCACTGTCCCACTAACATATCCCATCATATCTTTCCCCAGAAAGATTCATTTTTCCCCCCTATCATCTCTTTCCCCAGGGAGCAAATTAAAAGAGTGAAAGATTCAGAAGATGTACCAATGGTATTAGTGGGAAACAAATGTGATTTACCAACAAGAACAGTAGACACCAAGCAGGCTCATGAAGTAGCAAAGAGCTATGGTATTCCATTCATTGAGACATCTGCCAAAACAAGACAGGTAATGAATTCTTGTATTTCTGCTCAAATCTTAAGAAAATAGCTAGAGTTATTGTTAGGTATATGGACAAATCTGATTGAGAAGGGAGACATAACATTAAAACCTATGGGTAGGAGCAGCCTTCTTGTAGGCTATTTCATTTTTTAATTTCTAAGAGCCACACTGTCTAGTACTGTTTGCATATTTATATTAATTATTAACTAGTAGCTGAATTTTGAAGAAGTGCAGTCCACTTCCCTAAATATTTTCTGTTACTTCATAAGTTCTTAAGCATTTATGTTTTCTTTACTTTTAATTGTGAATAGCTGTGTAAGAAACAGTTTATGTTTAGGATGCAAAATCCTAGTTCTTTAAAAATAGAGGAGAATTCTTAACATTAATGAAGAACATTAAATTCACCATAGAGCTTTTCAGGAGGAATATGAGAAAATAAAGTGTAGGAAATAATTTACTTGCTTACGCCATATGTTTCTCAACTTTCCATTCAGGGTGTTGAAGATGCTTTTTATACATTGGTTAGAGAAATCCGTCAGTATCGAATGAAAAGGCTCAACAGTAATGAAGATGGAAATCAAGGCTGCATGGGGGTGTCGTGTCTTGTGATGTGATGAGGTAGGATTAGACTAGCTAATGGCTTATGTTTGACAAATATGGTACAAATATGGTGTTTCTCAGCCGAGATAACTTTAAGATCCATGGACTTCAACTCCGAGAAATCCACAGCCAGCACATTCTGGGGTTGAAGTCCGCAGATCTTAAAGTCACCAACATTGAGAAACATTGAGGTATGATATAACATTTTTGAACTATTAGGTATTTTGAAGACAATTTGAAATGTATTTCCTTTTTTGTCATCAAGCTGGTAAGACTGATAAGGATATGCCTCTACAAAACTCATTTACATTAAAGGATTAGCAAAAAGTACTTTGTACTCATCATTACTGGGGAATGTTGCTTTATTATGTTGCAGATCAATTGAAGTTGGTGCAATTGGTACCAATTGCATCAAGTGTCTGGAAATCAGAATTAAATGTGCATGTCTTCTTGGATTTTGAAGAGACATTCTGAGACAAATCTGTGCTAATAATATTTTACGTCTAATAGAACAGAGCTAACAACATATTTATCTATTTCAGCTGCCTTTGAATCATCCATCCGTTCAAAATTGAATCTTAATTCCACTGTTGCATTTCATGACGATGCCTTGGCCAGTATCATGCAAGTTGCCAATTGATCAATACTAAAACATTATATCAGCACCAGAAGATACTGTTTCTGAACATCTACCTCTTTGCTCAGTTGAGCATGCAAAGAAAATCTCATATGTTACGTGTGGGATTTTTTACTTTCCTTTCTTGGGTAGGTTCAAACAGAGAAACTGATTAAATGAGAACTATAGAGGCCCAATGCCTTGAGAGAAATAACATCTCATTTTCTGGAAAGAAGTCTGGAATGAATTGTGATCATGCTATTCCGAAAAAGCAATTGCACAGCATTGTATGGTAACATTATGCTTGATTTCCTGTACGCCATTTTTAACCAGGATAATATTTGTCACATTTCCTGTACTATGTACTTAAATATTCCTATTGTACATTAGGTTAATCACATCTAGTTCTAACCTCTTTAATTCTGGCCTTTTTATAACAAAAGTAAAATTATTTGATTTTCAAGTGCCTCTTTACAAAGGCAAGCTAGACCTTAAGCCTTATCATGCTGGTTGCAGCTCTGATTCCTAGCTGACCCATCCTGAATGTTTAAAGCTGACTCAGTTCATTGGTCTGTGTTAACCCAGTATTATCTATGCTCGGCTTTATTGTCTTATCCTTCTATTTGGGCTTCCCAATGAACTAACTGTATGTGGGAACTTTTGCAGAAGGTATTTACCAGCACTGGGCTTAGTTGTCAGAGTTCCTCACATCATTGGATGAAAAGCACTTTGAGATTAAGATTTTCCTGAGGAAATAGCAGTCAATTGCTATTTTCCAGTTTTAAATATAATACATTCCATTTACCTTGTGCTTGAAGGTACTGGTGTTTTCATCAGGACCGCTTATTAGCTGTGAATACTGTCAATAGCTGTTACTCCATTCTCAGTCATAAAACATGGCTGTGTGAAGTTTGTGTAGAAAAAAAAATCTGTTTTATCCCAGCTATTTCTGCACTTCTATTTTTAGTTAAACTTATTTACTCCTTTGATACCTTTGTCAAGCACAGTGTCTTTAGACGTATTAGCAAAGAAATGTATTTAGGGATCAACTTCATTGGCATTTGTTTTGAAAGCTCTCTCCCAGCTACTGCTGTGCAGTGAAACTAGAAGTGAAGAGCTAGGGTAAAATGGAACTAGAGAAGTAGAGGGTGACTTTAATTTTCCTGCTGCTTAAAAGTAGGATTAAATTGATAACTGTACATTTATCCTTACAAAATATGGAGCTGGATTCCTCAGTAGTCTCCATACCTCTATCATAAAAGAAAAGGAGCTGTGAGTTTTCCTTTGCTGAGGAGTAGTTGATTGGGTTACTATTTATATGATGTATCCAAAATCTGGTCCTGAATACCATGTGTGTATATCATCTCACTTTCAAGGGAGTGAGGGAACTGCCTTCACTGAAAGTAGATGCTTAAAATGATGTGAGGTGATATAAAAGCTGTCTGTGTGACTGTTTTACATATCTGATTGATGTGGTTATGTTGATTGAAGCACAGAAATGACTTCAATAGAAATGGAGTTTGTAGTCATTAAATGTTTACTGGTTTACAATATTGCCATTTTACTGCATACATTCTAAAGTTGGATAGAAAACCACTGTCCAACCTAATCCAAACTATCTAATCACCAAGTGAGAAAGTTGGCATATTATTTCCTAAATATATAACTTAATGGATCATTTCAGGCATACTTGATCTGAAGCTAATTTCATACAGCATTACATAGGGCCATACAATAATGTGTTCATATGCTTTACTGCTGGCTAATCTGCTAATATTTTACCAAGAAAATCAGAGCTCTTTTTCTTGAGAAACTGATGTCATCTGAGCAATACATTGATACTCTTTAAAGTCCTTTTACATGTTGCTCCATAGCATTCAATTTTTCCTTAGTATGATTCCTTTGTTCTGTGGTAGATATGTGGCATATACTCTGGTGAACACAGTGAAATTTGCTTAATTTCAATAAATTGGCCAGCTGTGTAAAGTACAGGAGCACTACTGCAGAACATGGGACCAAGCTGTGTAAAGTACAGGAGCACTACTGCAGAACATGGGACCGCTTAAATAGAAGTACAGTGAATTGTTGGGCTTAAAAGAATTATTGATACATCACACCTCTTGGTTAGCATTTGCAGTTTGAAATTATAATTCCAGGAACCTGAATATTAAATGTCATTTTTGGCTTAGTGTTCTGCATGTTTGCCAATGAATCTGAGAAGCACATAGTAATATATTAGTAATTTTCCATCTGGGGTTCACTTGTATTAAATGATGTTTCATCACAAGTGAAACATAGGTTAATTAAAAAGCAGCTTGTAGAATGAAGTAGGTGAAATCAGTTAATTTGGGTGAGGGAAGCAATTTTCAAACAACTTTGCTTCAGCATGTAAAACATTTTATCTAAAAGTGGTAACATTTGTAATTCTTGCCTTCTTTCAGGTCTTGAAATTTCCTACATTTACATTTGTATTATATGCAGAGGATGTTTTGGTGGCTAATCTGGGCCACAACAATATATTATTCATGAGTAGTCTGTCTTCTCCAGATCACTGTTTGTCTCTTTCTGTAGCACTAAGCAAAAAAGGGATTCAATGGAGAACATTTTAAATAACACACAGCAGTGATAAATATGAAGTTAAATCTCATGTACATGTAGTCCTTGACTTACAGCCACAGTTGAGCCCAAAATTTCTGTTGCTAAGCAAGGCAGTTAAGTGAGTCATAAAGTCATTTTTTTCAGTGGCGTAACTTTGAATAGTCACAACCAGTCATTAAATGAATGGTTGTAAGTTGAGGACTATATATTAGGAAATTTAGGAAAGCAAGCACACAGATTATTTATATAGAATGGTTCTCACAAATTGCCATGAACAGATATATAACTAAAATAAGTGCATAGTTTTGAATAAGAGTATGGTATGTGCTGATAGTGTCTGTTGGTTGCAGATTTAAAAAATAGTGTTTTAAAATAACTTTTACAACCATGTTCCTCAGCTGATCAGGCATATCTTTGTATTATTTTAGAAAAGAATCTCACTGATTCATGTAAATCTGCAAAGCCCTTTCCAAAACAAGCTGGATTTTTATTTTACTCGGCTCACAACATTGAAACTTAGATATGGAAGAAAAAATCTATTGCAAGCTGGGCTTCCAATTACGGTTCCTTGTTTTTCTTCTAACTGATTATAATAATGCTGTTGAAATTACACTAATAATTTGCTGTAGGTGCCATACATGTTAATTTTGCTGGACTGTTGAACAGAAAACAAGATTACAGTGTTTGATCTGCTTAATATTTTTAAACATTTTCCATTACTAAAAGGATATGCCTGATACAGCAGGATAATAATATGCAAACTTAGACAAAATGTTGATTCTTTTTAAAGGAAATGGTTTCCTTCACAGGATGAATGGCTTCTGTAAGTTGCCTACTGTGTCATGTGTGGATTGTCTTGTTTAATGTTTCAGAATGTTTAATATACTGTTTCAGAAATATTTGTGCCCATATGAAAATGTAATTGATCCACTGAATCTTATGGTCAGTTTCTTGTGTTATTTTCGATCTGTGGTTGTTTTGTTTTGTTTTTTTAAATACCTATATTGATTTCTAAACTTTGGTAAGATACATTTGGACTGTTTGAAAACAAAAGTGCCTTTGTTACCTAATAAATTTGAATTCTTGGAAATGTATGTACAAATAGAAATTTCCAATCACAGCAAGTGACAGCAATTTGCCGATTTGGGCTGATTTTGGAAAAGCTAGGTGGGGTTGAATGAAGTTAGTATCACAAGACTATTTAGACAACAAAATCCAACAAACCATTCCCCTTTCACCCACCTTCATACTATTGCCATATAATCATTAGGAGTCAAACTTCACTAGAAAGACTTTAAAAATTCCATCTTTTTTATGTAAGCATAAAATATGATTGTGTATTGCTAGTCCCTTACTCATCTACCATAATATACTGTATGATAGAGCCTAGACATGTTTAGGCTCTATTTTACATGGACAAAACAAGAATGAATGGCAAGATGCTATGTATATCAGTGAAGGTCGTCATTGATAAAACAATGAAGTCAAGATTCTGATCATAATTTAGAGGAAGCTAAAAATAATTCTTAACTTCTGGAGCTGATATTCTATCACTTTATGTTTATTTGGATAACAAAGCGACTTATTTTAAGAATACTGCCATATTTGCTGTAACACCTGATTTCACCTTTAGTTATGCTTATTTTGAGGTCTCATATAGCTGAATACCAGTTAATATGGGACAATAGATGCTGTGTGGATTTAAAAAAAAATAGGCCATGCTTCCATTGTATGGTATTTCATGAACTTACTCTCTGGAGTTCCAGACCACTAAATGTTAAAGGTTGACATATTGTCAAAGCACTAAGTCTAATTCCATTGTAATGTAATCATTTTTGAATATGTTTAACTAAACACTGTTTCCCCCCCTAAAATATACAAATATTTCTTTGGTGTGTTTGTTCAGTAATTGGATCAGAAACAACATCCCCTACTTTACATTGTGAAATGTGGGCAATTCATAATTACCAGAACCTGTAACTATTACAAAGTGAATGCTTCTCAAATGATGTGGACCACATTCAAAACACCTGGAGAGCTTTGAATAATTACAGTACATTTTGGCCGGGTCAGATCCTTAGATTGTTCAGTAAAGCAGTCCCAGGTATTGTGGTCAGTCACAGATCTTTAGCTAAATGTTTGGAAATTTAAAAAAAAATGTTGGTATTGTAGACTGGCAGAAATGTACATTTCTGTCAAAAAGAACACGAAAACTTATGTTCACCTACTCTATTTTTTTTTCTAAAGTACATTTTGTAGTATGGGTGAATTTCACATTCTTCTTCCTTAAAAAATAATGGAAATTCCAGAACAACTCATTGACCACATGAGAAAGTTATATGCAGGGCAAGAAACCACAGTATGCTATTTAATACTCGTTCCTCCTCCTATTTTCTCCACAAAAAATAACTCTGTGAAATAATTTGGGCTCAGGGAGAATAACTGGGCCAAGGTTATCCATCCAGCTTTCATACTGAAAAAAGTGGAAGATATAAGATGACAGCCAGCAGCAAGATAGATGGCTTCAGTTACAATGGGGATGAGTGTATCATTGGAAGACCTGAAAAACCAGATTTAGGGATTGATAATTATGGGGAAAACCTATGTGATCACTAAGAACTGAAAATGACTTGATGGCACATGATCACCTACAGTTTAAAAGATATAACCTGAAACCAAGGTTGGAAACAAATGGCAGTCAAGATATGCAGAAAGCATCATCTAATAAGTCCTGGAGGGAACAATATCCTAATCAAGGACCTATCAAGGAGGAAACTATAAGCCTAGTCAAGCTGTTACATATAAACAATCAGCAAGCTCCACCCTCCTGTGCACTGATGATACTATCTAGCCTGGTAATGAAATGTTTGCAGGAAAATATGCTCAGAAGTCAAAACCCAACAGTTTAACCCTATGCTATGTATATTTTCTACTGGTGTTTCATTATGATTTTAGAAATATCTTACCAATTATTTCTATCTTGCAGACAATAAATCCTGGCCTTGAAAGAAGCAGAAGTTTCAATTTTCAATTTTGATATATTAAAAATATATTTTACTGTAATTTTTAAAAGAAAGAAAAAATAATAAAATACCATCATAAAGGAGCAACTGGAAAATACATATGAGACAACATCTTCAAAGGAATACAATTCACAAGATAAAAAACAATATGCTATCCTTCCTGGATATCTGAGATGGATGGTTAAGAAATATAAAATATAAATAAAAATATCAGCAGAGGAAATGGTAGCAAATTAGAAACACTTAATATCAAAAAAACTACTCACACTAACCAAGTGTTCCACTATTAAAGTAACAACTCAAACTCCCACAAAAGGAGCTGTGTAAGGATATTATTCAGATGAGCAGAAAGAACTGCAATAACCAAGAACAGAACTAACTAACTGCCTATACATCTTCCAACAAAATGGGTGTTCATCCCAAATTGTGAAAAGAAGCAAAACATCTTCAAAGAAAAACAAACAAGAAAGTCCAGTTGCTTCCAGAAAAGGGGCCTTTGGGACAACCATGACCTGGATGACTAACAATTTGGGATGAACACCCTTTGAATAAGTAAGAATGGATTTGCAAATATTTCTTTATTTGTAAAATTAAGGTAACTGGGCAGCTTACAATCATAAAAGGTAAAATCTAAAAACAAGTTAGTACAAAAAGTAAAACACTGGCACAATTAAAAGATGGGGAAGGCAGGAGCAGGATGGGGAGAGGTGGGATCTGTTGTTAATTGATCAACCACTTCCACTGTAGTTGATCAATTAACAAAAGTTTACTATGGTTTATAAATTACAGTGAGTTCACAGAACATATGTGGATTAGCACCATGTGTATTCTAGGCCATGAGATGTAGACTGGGGAATTGTTGCTATCTAAGGATCAAATAAGTTCAATTTATAAGCTGTCTCAATCATCCAAGTGACTCTAAGCAACAAATATTAAAGCAGTGACCAAAAAATAGCAAAGATACTAAGTAAATATATATTATGATGTTGGACGGAAATACAGAATACAACCAAGAATAAAATATCAGTGTCAGTGCACAGTACTAAATCATCTGAAGCCTGCTGGAAGAGCCACAGGCTTTCCTAAACTGACGATAAGGCTGGGGTTGTATAGATAACAAGGGGAATGTTGTATCTTTGTAGTTCTCTATTACAAAGCCACAACCTCCAAAATATTTCTGCACACATTTTCTGTTCTTTTTCTGATGACCCGACTCTACTTCATCTGTCTTTTTGAATAAAAGAGGTCACAAGAGCTCAAAAGGGAATTAGTGTTACTGTAAAGCCTGAAGGTCATTCTTGGTTTCAGATGCAGTTTTAATACCTTTGACATTAACTGCAGAAATATTAGAAGCAAATGTAGTTTTTACCGCCAGCTATAGGGGGCAGATAGTTTTCTGAAAACAGATTGAGAAAGCTGGGAAGGTCTTCCCAAGGATGACATGTGGGACTGGACTGCCGGGATTCAGTAAATTAACATATTGAGCTGGGCCTGAACACTAGGATTTAGAAATGGTTGCATTTCAATTGCATTTCAAAATGAAAGAATATTGGAGGAAATTCCAACAAATAATTAGCCTCTTTGAGAGATCAGTAACTTGTGATTCCTGTATTCAATTGTAGCTGGTGTGAAAGAGATTTTCTGGAGTTAAAAGTAGTTCTGCAGGTCATGGGTCTCCAACTTGGCAATTTTTAAGACTTGTGGACTTCAACTCCCAGAATTCCTGAGCTAACATGACTGGAGAAGGAATTCTGGGGGTTGAAGTCCACAAGTCTTAAAGCTGTCAAATTTGAAGACCCCTGATTCTAAACCCTAAATCTTATCTGCAATCATATTGTGGTGAGTCCCTGTGGCAACATTCTCAGGTAGGAGATGCTGGGAGAGCACAGATTACAAAGATTTCGATAAGGAGAACTATGTTTCCTATCTGCCCTGACCTTCAGCCCTTAAGTTATCTTATTGTTATTATTATTGGGCACAGTGGAGAATGCTGATCTGTAATCAATGCTAAAGTAAAATTTGGCTAACAAGTCAATAGAAATTCTTTGATGGGATCTTCTCCTTCAAGACAAGCAATAAAATAAAAATATTGGGGGGGAAAGTCTAGACATATTCTGACAGAATATCCTTTCAGAGGAAAAAAAAGTATCCTTTTTAGGCGACAGATTTAGTATTTAGATAATGCTTCTAATTTTTTTTCAGTCCCTTGAAAAAATGCTGCCTGAGGAATTCTGGGTTGGTGTCCAGACCTGTTAAGTTGTCAAGGTCCAGAAACACTGCTCTGAATTATGGGCAGTCACCGGCTAAGTCTATGCTCTTCCATCAGACTTCATTATAGTTTAGGGCAGGGGCGTCAAACTCGCAGCATGCAGCCGGATGTGTCACGTGCTGGCCCCACTCCCACCCAGTTTAGCAAAGGGTCCTGATGTCCTGATACATCAAGCGACTATGCCTTGAAGACGCATGTTTGACACCCCTGGTTTAGGGTGCTACATGAACCCAGTCTACTTTATAGCTTAGATTTTCTTTCATATGGGATGCCTGTGGCTGGAAGCAGAACCTTTTTTTACAGCAATGGCTCTTTGGCATCAATTATTCCTGATTATTTTTTGTGTTTATTTACGGAGAAAGAAGACTGTGGTTATTGATTATGGTTTTTAATACTGTAGTTCATACTGAACATTTGAATAAGCATGCTTTGTGAATCTGTCAAATGCATAATAAAAATAAAACAAGATGTCACATTTGGTATATGCAAAATGCAAAAATGCTTACATAATAAATTATATATATATGTATGAATATATCATTAATATTTATATAATATATATGTAAGTATGTGGGTTTATAATAATATCTTGTTTTGGTTCAAAAATTGCTAAATGGGGTACATAGCCAACACAGTGAGGCACACATGCAGATTAGTGCACTCCTCTAAAAAGAGAGAGAGAGATAAATGTTGCTCAAGTAGAAAAGATGAGTGCCCATTGATGCCAACCAGAGCCCTACATAGGATGCTGCCCATAGTATTTCATTTGTGATGGTTTCAATGTACATTTCAAATAACCCTAAATAAGTCCATGGCATTATTGGCTGCAGCGAAAAGTTAGTCTGACTGCAGCTTTAAATAGTCTGTTGCTTACTTGTTCATTCCTTTTAGAGAAGAGGAGTTGAGTTACAAGAGCACAGATAAATAATAAAATGAGCACTGGCTGGCTGTGAACCTTCACTCTTCCACTTGCCTATTCCAAAGTCAGTTCCTGAAAACTTTACTGAGGTGGTAAGAAAATGCCACAGGTGAAAATTCCAGGTAGGTCTACACCCAGTAGGTTGATAGGTAGAGTTAATCTCTAATCTAACTACATTGACTTGTACCTATAAAAGCTATTTTCTATTTTTTTTTTAATTAAGTATTGTACTGGGGCAAAAATAATTTGAATGAGGGGTTTGTAAGCCTTTTAATTTTCCCCAAAGGAGTCATTTGATAGATACCAAATATGTGAAAAAAGATGGAACAGACTGTTAACTCGGTTCAGCAAAACCCACTCCACTCCCATCTCTGAGCAGAAATTTATAAGGTCATGAGTCAGATGGTAAACTGAGGGCAAATTAAATGTGCTAACCGATGCCGGCCGGGAGTTTACTCAGAAATTTATTATGAACATGGAACAGCTAGGAAGCTGAGAAAAAGAGCGGCAGGGGAACCAGAGAAATAATAAAGATACCACTTTTTGTTAAGTATAACTGTTTTGTTTAGAGGCAACTATTGAAATATTAACATTCTCTCAAAAGAATTAATAGGCATTGCAAATCTACTAACTTCTTTATGGAGCATGTAGTACATAGTATATGTGAAATATATATTTTACTAAGAAAATATTCATATCCAGTTCATTGATTTTCTCTGCACAACACTTATCTTTGAAGGTAGGAGATTCCGCTCGTGTAAGAGCTTTGGATTGGTGTCTTAGGATCTGTGCAGTTAATATTTATGAATATGTAACTATTAAGGTATACATTGGAAGATACAATATATATTTGAAGAATGCGTGCATAAGCGCACCAACGTGTCTACCGTCCCTGTCCTATTGTTTCTCTTATTCTTTTATTTTTCTTATATGTACCCATTTCATGTATTCACAACTATGTATACACTTATACTTATTATCTTGTAAACAATTGGCAAATCAAATAAATAAATAAATAAATAAATAAATGTGCGGAAAGCACTGTTGGTGATGTGACTCTCAGATTTATGCTTACCCAGGCTGAGTCTTTGAGAAACATTTAAATTTCTCTTGTGGAGTCCATGATGTCGTCCAATGCTTTGTTAATGCAGGATCTAATCTGGGTCGGTGACCAGGACCAGAAGTTTAGTCTTCCAAGCTTTCGCACTCATGCTGGAGCCTGTCCTCAGGGAACTAACATTCCCTCTCACCAGAATGTGCTGGATGGGCTCCAGCATGAGTCCAAAAGCTTGGAAGACTAAACCATTGGTTCTGGTCACTGACCCAGATTGGATCCTGCAACATTAACCTTGGATACATTTATTTGCCTTCATTTGCTTTGTTAATTTTCTTTCTTTCTTCCTGTTGAACAATTAATAAAAAGTAATATGCAGAAAGCTTAAGCCACAGTTTTTTGGACGTTTGCCTATTGAAAATAGGAATTGCATATGTGAGAATGAAACATCTGCAATGTATTGAAGAAAGTATTGTCAAGGAGTCGATATTTGAAATACAGGTAGTCTTTGAGATATAACCACAATTGGGACTGGAACTTCCATTGCTAAGTAATGAAGTTCTTAAGTGAATCAAATCCAATTTTACAAACTTCTAGCCATGATTGTTAAGTAAGTTACTTCTTTATTAAACAAACCCAGCTTTCCCCATTGACTCTGCTTGTCAGAAACTGGCAGAAAAGGTCGCAAATAGCAATCACATAACTCCAGAATGCTGAAACAATCATAAATAGATGGCAAAATTGTGAGGATTTGTCACAAATCACTTTCGTCAATTGCATCATTGGCACAATTTACCCTGGGGAGAAAGCTGTCTGGCTATCTGGCTATGGCTGATAGAGCTGAATGTGGACTCTGTTCAGCATCTCCATATCCACCTCTGTATGGTGCTGCTAGGGCTTCTCTATTGTTGTAGAATGTGGTTCTTGGCAACAATGAAATGGGCTTATCAGATGTCCGGACAAAGGAGGGCCCCTTTTTGTCTTCATGTCTTCTGGTCTGGCAGGCAAAAGCTTAAAATAGTTGTGGTTTGGCTTTTTTTATTGTCTTGTCTGTGGGGCTTAGGGACATTTTTCACAACAGTAGCTCCTCAAACTTTTGTAGATTGTGACCTTATAAATTCTCCACTTCTTCCTTTTTCTCATCTGTCAATAGTGTCAACAGCCTTCATTTACATTATTTAATTTATTTCCTGATTCCAGCAATTACCTTCAGTTCAGCCCCTTTCAATCTATGATCATGGAGTCTGTTGGTCACATGATTCATCATATGTTTCTATTGTGAAATTTGAAAACTGCATTGTGGACAATTTTACGTTATTGCCATCATATGTTATTGAAAATAAAGATTGGTAGGAAAAAAAAGTGCAATTGAAAAGTCAGTCTTTTGATTTCATATATATGTAGGCTTAGGTATTTTTTTGGGTGTGCATTTTTGCTGTAATTTTTGACATAGATGCCAAGTAAGCTAAAAAGTTAGTGAGTCTTCTCCCACACCCACACATTTGTCCTCTTTTTCAACTGTCTGTATCGTTAGCTGCTAACTCTACACAGAAAGAACATCTCTAGGCAGGAGGTAAAAATCCAGAACAGGACTGCCTCTCTTACCATCTTCTATTTTTTGTCTTCAAGTAGAGATGGCTGCATTCTTTCTAGCCCATTCCCAATATACAATGTCGCTGGCATTGCACACAGCTGTCACTAACCTCGTCTCCAGCATATCTCTTTAATCATTATGACATTTTATGCTTATCTTGTTTATTCCACCTGCCCATCTCTTGCCAAAGCATTATCGCCTTCTTGCTTCTTTGTATCAACAGATTAGATACCCATCTGATTATTACTTCACCTCTACTGTAAAATGGTAATATTAGTTGTAGTTTAATGTTGTGCAATACATTAGCAATCATTTGGATGTGTTGGGAATGCAGGCTACAGGTACAATACTGTACATCTCCCTATGATTGAGAGATGGCTTTATGAATGTACACAGTTCAGCAATTCCAGCCCTTCCATGTGCTGGCAGAATTTGGCAGAAGCCCATGGAGAGAGGCCTGTAAAACACACTTGTTGTTTTCCCCCTTTCCCCATCTTACCAACTTCTGATGAATGAATTGCAGTTTAAAACAAAATCTGGAGAAATCCAGGTAACGGGAAAAGAACAACTGTTTCAGGGAATGTCTATTTTCATAGTCACAGGAAAAATGTACAATCAGGAATTTGCATTAAGTACTTTATTTCAGTTTTTTTCTTTTTTAATTTTTTTAAATTTTAATTATGAGACTACAACACAATACACCCAACTTAACTTTGTTATACATATATACATTTTATTTCATCATTTGTAATCTCCTTATTTAATATATTAATTACTAATTAATCTAATCATAACTACTAATATTTTTACCTTGTCTTCTGCTATATAACCATTGAAAACAATTATTCCATGTTTTATAATATTTAGACTCTCCTTTGTCTTTTATTTCTAAAGTTAATCTTTCTGATTCTGCACATGGCATAATTTTTCCTATTAGTTCTGTTTCTGGAGGTATGATTTCATTTTTCCAGTATTGTGCATATATTATTCTAGCCACCGTCAATACATGTACTATTAGATACATTATTTGCTTCTTTATTTTTTTATTTTATTTCAATTTGATGTGATGTGTTATGCTAAATTTTGTTTTTTTGTATTTGTGCAAGATATAGAATGAGTTATTTAGTTCAGCTTTCAATCAGATCTCAGGCTTATATTTATGAAAATACAGTTTTCCTTTAGAACATACAGGCAGTTCTTGACTTATGACACAGTTGGGTCCACAATCTCAGTAATTATGTGAAGATCACACAACCACTTAGCTCAATGACTGCAATCAATGACTCCTGGATCACCCAATTGCAGTTGTTAAGTGAAGCATGGGGATGCTTCAGGGGGAGGTCCAGGGCTCACTGGCAAATGGAAACATGATGCAGGCCAGGAGGCATCAGTCAATTCCCCACCCAGTCACAAATGGGAGCTTTCAGCCAGCTCCAAGATCTACCAGCATGTACGAAGTTGCTATGTGCCTGGATGCTTTCAGTGTGCTTCCCACTGAGTCACAAGGTCACACACAGTCTCAGCCCTTTAGGAGGCTCCGTTTTAAGATTGCAAAAATAGCACCCACTTTCAGAATAGTCTATGCAGGAAGGCCACACCTTGTATTCGCTGTGCTTGTCTCTCAGAAGCTACAGAAAAACAGAAAAGGAAACTGTGTGCTCCTGGATTCTGGAAAAGGCTAAGGTCTCCTGGTCATGGCCAAAGATGTCTGGGCCATGGCTGCTTTGTGCATACTGGTAGGTCCTGAAACCATTCTAGGAGCCTCGGTGGCGCAGTTGTTAGAGTGCAGTAAGCAGGCTACTTCTGCTGCAGCCAGCTGCCTGCAATTTGGCAGCTCAAATCTCACCAGGCTCAAGGTTGACTCAACTTTCCATCCTAACAAGGTGGGTAAAATGAGGGCCCAGATTATTGGGGGGCAATATGCTGACTCTGTAAGGCTGTAAAGCACTGTAAAGCAGTATATAAGTCTAAGTGCTATTGCTCGTGCTACAGGCTCTCATGTATGGATAGGAAGGGTGGGAATAAGCTGAAAACCTCCAGGGCTCCTGGATATGGCTGGGTGGCTGGAAGCAGACTTTCTGGCAGTAAAGATTGCAAATGGTAATCACATGACCGTGAGGTGCCAGACATAGGTATGAACAGGCTGCCAAGGGCCTAAAATATAGCTGTGTGACCATGAGGAAGTGGTAGTATGAACTGGAAATGCTTTATGGGCAATTGAACACCGCTTGTGAGGCTGTCATAACTACGAATGGTCAATTAAGTACAGGTTGAAAATGAAGACTCTCTGTATAGTAATTTGCTCCCTAGTATGCTGGCTGGGGACTTCTGAGATTTGAACTCACGCATCTTAAATTGCCAAGGTTGAGAAACATTATATTATATTTTCTTTGAGATATTTCTTTTTTGACTAATTTGCCAATTGACATAAGTGGTACCACTACCAAGCTAGAAACTGGGAGACCTGCTTACCTAGGAAAGCCAGCTGGATGACTTTGGGCCAGTCACCCTCTCCCAGCCCAAACTGAGAGAGGGTTGTTGTTGTGGGGAAAATAGGAGGAAGGTTTGACACCCTGAGCTGTTTGTAACAATAATAAAGGCAGGATATAAATATAAATAAATAAATAATACAGGAAATTCTATAATTTATCTTCTATGCTGAATATTTGCATTTTAACCTTAAAGTTAAATAAGAAAAGGGGAAGTGTTGCAGTATATTTTATTTTTTAAAACTAAGGTTGATTTTATTTATCTCTTTCAAGAGTGGTTTATTTCCTCAAAACAAGGATACCAGTTAGCATGAATCTACCCTACATAGCCAGGAGATGGCATTGTTGGAATTATTTCAATTTTTGCATTTTGATCTTTTAATTCCCTCTTTTGTTTTTAGTTCTTCATCACTGTCTGTTTCAGCAGTTTTCTCCCCACCTGTTCCCACATCACTCCATCACATCAACTATAATCAATAAAAGAGAAACGCAACTTTTCTTTGTAGTGCTTTATGTACAGGTAAATCTCACTTAACAATTGCCACATTTAATGACTGTATAAATCTACTATAAGGTTATATTAACAGAATCTTGCAAATCTGAGAATATATATGTATATCTCCCTTCTTGTCTTTACTTTCCAAAGAACTAAGAAGGGTCCCTTTTGAAATGCTTTCTATACCCCCATTTCTTTAGTGTGAGGGCCAAGCAACACGGACTCTGTAACACTAGCAACATTATATTCCACAGATTATTGCAGCCTTCTTTTGCTGTGTTCTCCTTATAACCAATACAATTTTTTTTCCAGATGGGTCGCTATTTCCATGCTTTTTTCTTAGCACTACGATTTGAGAGGTTGATCTCTTCCCAGGATATATACAAAGTTAATATGCACCTTTCTGATGGATCTGATGGATTAAGATGACCTACTGATCTATTGCCTTTTCCCCACAGAAACAGATGACGACATGCGCTCCTTTGCAGAGTTGGTCTTTGCCTCAGAGGTGAAGGATGAAGGAGAACGGCATGAAATCTCTCCTTTTGATGTGGCAGATGTCTGCCCTATCTCACATCATGAAATGCAAGATCACATGATCAAACAGGACAACACAAATGTTTCTGATAAAAGGTGAGAATTGGCAGGGGTGGGATTCTACCAGTTTGCACCTATTTGCTAAAACCGGTTGTTAACATTTTAAGCAGTTCGGAGAACCAGTTGTTAGAAGAAATTACTGGCCTAATCCTGTAAGGAAGGCAGGAAGGAAACATTCTGGTGTTGCTTACAGAAACCGCCTCTCCGTTAACCCTTATTACATTCTTGGCAGGACTAGACTTCCTGTCTCAGGAACTTCTCTGGAGTTTTTTTCCCCTCCTTTGCTAGTACTTTGCTTGTGTGGAATGACCAATGGCACTGAAAAAAGTGACTTATGACCATTTTTCACACTTACGACTGTTGCAGCATCCCCACAGTCATGAGAGGCCAGGCAAGGAGCTGCATGCCTCGATGTGAGTGATACTGAGTTGACCATGCCCAGCCAATAACATGACCACCAACTTAGCCATGCCCACAGAACTGGTTGTTCAAAAATTTGGATCCCATTCCTGAGAATTGGGCATATGTCCTGAAAGTTTGGATAAGTAACATTGCAAGGCTAAGGTCTCTGCTATGGTGCCAGTGCCAGGCTATAGCCATCTTTCTCCGTACCTATTATGCTTTCAGTCCCACCTAATTATTTTAAGAGAGAAACTGACATGAAACTATAGCAGCTTTATATTTAACTCCATATAAAATCCATGTGCATTTTTGAAGAGAGAGAGGGGGGGGCGGGCAGGCAGAGTTTTGTTTGAAAGGGTGGACTAAGAAAAGGAAAGGAAAACACAAATCTATTAGGGAGTATTCTGCCAAGAAGGACTAGTGTGGGATGCTAAGTAAAATGGCAAATAATAATCCACCTATTTCTTTCCGTACCCATTTTATCAATAGGAAAATTCAGCAACACATACTCACCATTCCAAATATTTCACCAGTACAGAAATCATCTGTCATAAGATGTGGCTGAAGAAGGAGTTATGTGGGTTTTACGTTACCCATATTAATAAACACATGCTATAGATACACTTACATACTCTGATAAGCAAAATGGATTCCTGCTTGGAAAAGACTTTCAAGACTAGGAGGGTTTACAGAAGAAGTGGGCTGGATTCTTTGTGAAGTTAACTCTGCCAAATGTGGTCTTGACTCCTTCTCCTCTTAAAGTAACAAGAGAGAGGATCAGGAATTGGATCGTGGCTATGGTCAATATTTCCTTGGGTAAGGTGGACGTGCCAGTGGCCTGGGAAGAGATATTCATTTGCCACTTTCTCGGGGGATCTGCCTTAAATCTAAAACTGAATGACAATCACTGGTCCTTTATCTTTATTTTAAACAAATAAATATTGTTTCAGTAGGTCTGAGGATATAAGAATACAGTTATTAACTAGGTATTGTTTTTATAGTGTTAATATTGTGAATTGCTTAGAGCCCTGCTGGATTTAGGCAGTATAAAAATCTTATGAATGAATGAATGAATGAATGAATGAATGAATGAACTAAACTGCTGCCAAAATATGAACAGTTTGAGCTTGTGTTCCATTCCTTTTACTGGCCCTCAGGAAGAAGATGCTTTTGCGGCTGAAAACCATTGCGTTGGTTGTTCCTGTTGCTGCACACTGTTCAACAAAACTGTCCACTTTAGATGAGGTCATCTCTACTACTGCTATGTATGAAGATGTACCCAAATTTCAGCGTGTGCAGATCACAGGGGATTATGCCGCAGGGGTCAGTAGCTAAAGATCCTGTGCTTTGTCTGTCTTAGCCTTCTTTTATTACTTCTTTGCACCATTCAGATGCTTCAGATGTGACATAAAATTATGTAAAATCTAATTTCCACTTGGAAACATTTCACTGTACTATCTTAGACAGCAAATAGAGGATAATAAGTATAATAAGAGGACTAATATACTGTCTAGCAAAAATTGCAAACAAAGGAAAAGCTAAGTGTTATAGACCCCTATTGCAAAGATGATGTTGCAAATAAGAAATTTTGCTGATTATTGATTACACAAAGTATGTAGGGAGAAATACATACTTTCAAATATGCATTAAACACTTTATCCTATGTCACTCCCTGTAAGCTGGCAAGAGAGCTGCAGAATGGTATGGACAGAATAGGAACCTGTGACATGAGAACTACTGTAGGAGGCCAATATATATCCTGAGATAAAGTTTTGTCCTGAGTATATAACATAGCTATAAAATCTTTGAAACTGAAACTATCTCTGACTAAATGGAGAGACTGCACTCTACAATAACATAATAAAATACTGTAAAAAAGTATCTTACTGTTGCTTGTTCCCAATCCTTATTCCACATTCTAAATCCCAAAGGATATAACCCAGAAATGGAGTAGGGAAGAAAAGATACTAAGGCTTTTTTTAAAAATGATAAATTCTACTTACTTTACTTAGCAGCAGCAACTATATTATGAATGACATAATCTGAATCCAAGAAAAATTTGTCATAAAAGAGATTTGGCATCTTATCACATCTTTTGATTTCCTTTAATTGCTGTCTCAGATGATGGTTCATTGGAGAAGATGGCTGCTGCTATAATATTTATTGGCCACTTTTCATTATGAATATAATAATCTCAAAGCAAGGCTACAAGATTAAAAGCAAAACAATTCACCACCTTAAAAATTTGTTACACCCTCTCCTTCTCTTCAATACCTCATATTTTCTATGCTCCATCCACTGGGTGACTCCAAATTTGGCAAAGTGCTTGTCTATATTAACATTTGTAAGGATCTACAGGTTGGTCAGTACTGGGAGACACACACAATCTCTCTCCCTCTCCCTCTCCCCCCTCCCCCCCTCTTTCTCTCTCTCTCTCTTTCCTTTCTCTCTCTCTCCATGACAAGTCTTACCAAGGGGTCTTATTGGATGTACTCCATCTTTACTGTTATTACTACAATAGCACAGTGCATATAGATCAGGGGTGGGCAAACTACGGCCCGCGGGACACATCCGGCCCGTTGGTCATTTTAATACGGCCTGCCTCTGAAAAAAAAATATTCCCCTCTGGAAAAAAAATTGGGGCCGGCCAAAAGAGACCCCGCGCCGCGCGCCAAAAAATTGCACACACAACACGGAGCTGGGCAGCTGCTTCCCTGCTAGCGGGGCCAAGGCCACCGCCCGGGGAACGCCCACTGCTTTCCCAAGCCAGGGCTGGGCGGTGGCGTATTGCCCTGCACCGCGTGGCCCCCGCCTGGCAGCGTGCTTCTCAGCTGGTCTCCTCCTCCTCGACCATACAGAACAAACAGGCAGAGAAGGAGGAGACCAGCCGGCTGGTTGGGGGAAGCTTTCTGCGCCGAAAGAGGCAGCTACTAATCTCCGGCTTTGCTCCGCTTCTCCAATGGTCCGGCACCACCCTGTTCTTCTTGTGCTGCGAAAGAGGCGGCTAATGATCTCCGGCTCCGCTCTGCTTCTCCAACATC